TCATTAAATAAAAATTAATTTAATAAATAACAACAGGAAAATAACACATTTATTAACTATTATGATTGTTTCATTTGTAGACAATGAAAATATATATGTACAACTTTTTAATTACGAATATATCAATTTTAAATCATAAAATTAAGTAGTTCCCTTTTTCCAAGAAAAAAATAGAACACATACTGCTATTTATGGATAAGCAAACATCATATATTAGTAAAGATTAGAATTTTTTTTTTAACCAACAAGAATTTTGGTGGAGTAATAACTACTTTTTCATCTTTAATAAGAGGTTTTGAGTTCGAGTTTCCTAGATAGTCCTCTTTGTTGGGATCTCTTTATTCGGGGCCCGCAATGTGAGACTTCTTGACAGCGTAAATTTAAATTTATTCGGGCTTCGACATAGATACCAAACACTGAATAGAAACAAACATAAACTTTTTTAAACAGTGAGAATAGAAAAGTAGGTAAAAGTGAAATATTATGAGAGAGAAGAAGGGGGGGTTGAGATGCATGAATAATCCTAAGTTATAGTTAAGTACACGCCAATTCGATCAAAAATAATAAGAAGCAACATGTGAAAGTACTTTGTTAACTTAACCCTAATTTGTATTAGATACTTCCCCTCTTTTTTGTTTAGTTTCTTTTGATTTTATACTATTATATTATACACATATTAGTAAGTGTGTACCTCTATGGGTTAATTGCAAACAACATCTTTTAACTCATAGGTACAGATAAAATTTGCATACATTCTTGCTTTCAAGATTTCACTCGTAGAATTACATTGAAATTGTTATTGTTATTGTAATGTATTTGACTAATGAAAAAGTCAAATCTAGGGAAATGATTACGATTAATAATATTTAACTAACTCAACAAAGAAAGAAGTCCTACCTCACAAAAGTTGTCAAATGTTTCATTGAGTTTTACTAAAACGACAATGAGGGTGTGCTTGGTATTTTCGTAGAAAAAGAAAATATTTATTTGACATAAGTGATTTCTTACTTATTTTAAGATGTTTAGAGTGTAAGGAAAAAATATTGTCTCGAGAATATTTCGATATAATCTAGGAAAATAATATAAACCAAAACCCATATCTTGACCCAACGTAGGATCCGAACCTGACTTGACATCTGCTCGAGAACCCAACCTAATATCTATCCCCAACCTAACACCAACTGAGGTTTGACCCTTAACCCTGGGACCTAACCCTGATCCTGACCCTGAGACCAACCCTAAGACCTAACCTCGAGACCCACCGAGCTCAACCCTAACCCTAACCCGCACCTTAAGCTCAAGATTTTACCTTGAGCTCGAACCTAACCCCGAGATCTTAAAAAAATCTTGAGACCCAACCACAATCCATATCCCAAAGACCCAACCTCGAGATTCAACCCCAACCTCGAGACTCAACCCCAACCTCGAGACTCCACCTAGCTCGACACCATACCCTAACCTCAAAATCCAACCTTGGTTTGGAGCTTGACCCCAAGTCCTAATCTTGATCACTTAACTGACCCAAGACCTGGCCTAAACCCAAGATCCAACCTCGACCCTCAAAATCTAACCCCGAGACTCGACACCCACCTAAACCTAACCCTGAGACTAATCACGACCCTTAACCTTGACTCCGACACCTGTTCCCAAAACCTCAAGACTCAATTCTAACTCCAAGACCCAATTTAACCTAAGACCCAACCTCAATTCCAAACCCCGATCCTCGAAACTCAAACGATCAACCTTGACACCAACCCCCAACATGGTCAAGTTTCGGTGTCAAGGTCGTGATAGTTTCACAATTTAGGGTTGGATCTTGAATTAGGTGATCTCGGATCGAATCTCGAGTTGGTATGGAGCAGGGTAAGTCATGTCACGAGGTGATAGGTTATGGGGCTACGGATGGAGGGCGTTTAGGTGGTTTAGATGGTGAAGTTGAAAGGTTATTTAGGAAATGATTGTCCTACTTTTTTTGAATATGAATGAAAAATAAGTTTATCCAAAAAAAAAATTCAAAATTATTTAAGTCAATCGAACATATAAAAAAATTGAAATATATTTTTCAAAAACTATTTTCCTTTTATGTCAAATGCACCCTGCATGGCCACCTTTTCAATTACTTGAATTACAGGTTTTGAAGAAAAATGTGTGTGTGTGTATGGGGGGAAGGGGAATCATAATAGTAAAAATGATGGACAAGAAAGAATTTAGTGTATTTTATTTTAAATTTCTAAAATCCAAAATGTGTCACTACTCACTAGTTTTAATCAATTTAAGCCAATAATAAGACCTTAACCAGAAAAAAAGAAAAAGGTATCTTAATATATACTATTATATTTGGTGAATGCCATCCCAGAAAGGTTGAAACTTGTCATCCACAACAAAGGATAAGAATAAAAAGTAGGAAAAAGTATCTCATGGTTTAATTAACTAACATAACAAATACCAATAAGAATGACACCAACAACAACAAAATAGTACTCCTTTATCTATTCTAATAATTTATCTTTCCATAATTATAGATAATTTAATTTTAAAATAATTTATAATTTTATAAATATCTAAAATTTTAAGTTATTAAACAAAATTGTAATTTATCTATTTCTATTTCTATTGCCTTCTTTAGAATTAAAAAGATTATTATGCATTGTTTTTTTTTTTCTCTCTGTTTGTTTTCATGTGTTTCACTTTATCGTAATCAGATTTTTGTATTTACTGTAGTTTAATTTATATATTTCTTTTGATAATGCCAAGAGTGTATTTTCATGCTCAAAATAGCTCATATTTATTTACTTGAATATTTTTCTATTTAAATCAAATATTAACTAAACAGCTTGTTGTATCATTATTATCTATGTAGCTTTTTATCGTAAAATTTTCATATATCTTTTAAATATTTTGAATTGTCAATTATTGTAAGTTATAATACTTTTTATGTAGTTTACAAATATAAAAAATTTTATTTTAAAAAATTTAAGATTCATAAATAATTTTTTATCAAACTTTAACTATTTGACTCTTAAAAAATAAAATGTGTCACATATATTGAAACAAAAGAAATAGTAAAATTCTTGAAAAGAAGTTACTGTATTTCTTAGAAATGATTAAATTGTTACGAATGTAGATAAGTTTTTGAAGGATACTATATATAACTTGACCAAAACTTTCTATAATTATATATTTTCTAGAAGTCCACAAAAATCAAACAGCAAAAAAAAAAATTTCAAAAAAAATTAAAATGAAAAAAAATTGGCTTAATTGATTTAAATATTTTAAAAAATCAAATTAATTAATTAAATTTTCGTTTAATAAAAAAAAGCAAGAGAAAGAAATATAAATTTTAGTCCATTTTCTGCGAGTGATGTAATATTTATACCTCTCACATGATAGAAAAGAAAGGAAAAAAAAACGTGATGTGCTTTTTGTGATTTTTCATTTTATGATCCTAATAATATTTAGATCAGTTTTTTATACATTTCAGATTAGTTTCACTTAGTAATATTTATTAGATAACTTGATATTTTTAGTCTTCGCTTAATTTTAAATTTAAGATCTCATAATTCTCAATTACTTCATTAATCACTACGTCACACTCAAAGATGCTAACATTGTGATCTTAAAAATACAACGTAAAAAATTAAAATTAATTATTATCAAAAGAGAAAAAATATGTATTTTTAAAAATGAATTAAATAAAATAAAAATTTATTTAACTTTATATAAATCTAAATGTCACACCCTTTCTTTCAACTGCACTGTGCTATTTTCTAATGCCCCAACTTTATTTCCTTAAACTTGTAAATATAGTGTAGAGATGACAACCAAAATCAGATAAATAAATTAAAATTCAAAAAATTATTTTATACTTATAAGATATATAAAGCTAACTAGTAAAGCATCAATAAAAAGTCATTGAACATTGTGTGAAGCAAATTATTTTAAAGCATCAAATATATTAAGTTGTTGAATTTTGTTTGAGATATAATATTATATTTTATATTATAATTTAATTTCTGGTCAAAGTCAAATATTCTGATAACGTCTATAGGAGTGGTTATTTTATGTGTGTTTCATAATGGCACTACCTTTCTAACACACTAGATTTTGTTTGGTAAGGACAAAACAAATTCTTTGGTTGTTTACCAAAATCCAAAGGTCGAAGATCCACATTCATATTGGCAATTCTATTTGATATTTCAACGATGTATATTGATTGGCTCATTACAATTTTGATTTGACTTATTAATTACTGGTCTGTAGATATGCTAAATCATATCAACTTGTTATCTTATCTGTAATTATAAATTTGATTGGCAATTTAACCGTTAAGATTTGAGTGAATATATCATTTAGAAATAACGTAGTGGTTTAAAAGTTCACTAGCATCTTATAAGTAAATCGAGAGTTTGAGATCGTAAAAAATAAAAAATATGAAACTCAAAGAATTTGATACAAACATAATTTACGATCAAATTATTATTTAATCTGTTAACAGAAAATTTCAATCCATTAAAAATCGATAAATCCAATATAAGAAGCACCAATATTATTACTGAAACAGCTAAAATCATCAATTTTTTCAATTTGAATTATTAGTTTCAAATTCAATTTTGAACAACCCCCCCCCCCCCCAAATTTCTTTGACAAAATTGCAACCAATAATTAAAAAGCCAAAACAAGAAAAAGGGAGGTATAGGGACCTTAACATTAATGGTGTGTTGAGACGAAATTATTAATATGTATGATAAGTCAATATCAATAGTTAGTTGGAGAACCCTTGAGAATAGTTTGCTTCTTAATTAAGAAACCATAAGTCCCACCTTTTTGGCGTGTGGTACTTCAAACATGTTACACAGCTTCATTTATCAAAAAGTCTATTTAATTAATTAGATTATATTAATTCGATATTTTAAATTATATTGTATACAGAGTACAAACTCGGTGGTGGTATTCTAAGGATAAAGGACAATTAGTAGAATATATGACCAAACAAGCCTGGGAAAAGTAAATGGAATCATGGATAATTAATTCTAACCATCCCTGGCCAAAATCACATTTCCAAATATTTACGACACTTTTTAGATTCATTTGCATCAAGACGTAGACACAAAACGCCCATAGCTGGTAAGAATATGGAAACCATACAGCTAAAGTAGGCAAACTATAGTGTTCCTTGTCAGTTTTCACCCTTTCTTTAGGGACACATGTGCATGAGCAAAATGCACCTAGCCTAACAACTTGAATTACTTCAAAATAAGGAAAGAACAAACAGACCTGGGAGAATGCCCCGAGGACAATACTTCAGCATCAAAGGAAACAAGTAATACGTGCAGCTATACTCTCACCCTATATACCACCATCATCATTCAACATATGATGCGTTGTTGTTAACACAGTAGAGGGCCTGTGAGAATGTCGAACAAGTGCAATTTGACAACAATAGCAGAACGCAAGGGTAAGTTTGTTTGCCTTCCATGCAGTGGCAGCCCCAACAAGAGTCCATTCGTCCAAGTTGTTTAATTTTTCCTTTCTGCTGAAGTTATCCGCTCTAGGCTTGAACCACCTGTGAAATACAACCACATAACCGCATAATCCTCATGTATCCAGCTCTAAGGCTTTTGACAGCATCTCTAATTTCACCAAGTAGAGGATCATCTGAATGTTTTGCCGGAACAGCTAGAGCTGCAAACTGAGATGGAACAACTTCTGAAGGATAGACTCCTCTGTCAGAAAATCCTCAGAATGTCAGTAACTTGTGAGACACGATGAAGATGTTGTCAGATATCAACAAGAAGTTGGTGATAATATTATGAAGAATTGATGAAAAGCAGAATTCACTAACGATCAACAAAACCTGTATGATCATTGAAAAATTTACTTCTATTAGAAAAAACAGTTCTGACTAAATTACCAGTAAGGAGTCTGAGGTGATAAATGATATAAATGCAGAACTTCAGACAATTTTGGACATGGTAACATACGAAATATGGTCTAAATCGATGCATTTGTCCTGCCACATGTGGTCACCAGTACACCTTAATTGCTTGATTCAACACCTATTTGCTTAGAGCATTGAGTGTGCCTCAAATGTACCACTTTATCCAATCTAGATAATAATTAGATGTTCCAATCATATGATTCCAGCATCTGAGACAAGCTAGCAGTTTCAAAACTACCAGACTAAGGAGAGTGACTAGCTAATGTTTTTAAGTTTTTCACTAAGGAGGAAATACTGGAACTAATGGAGCATTATTATGTTCAGATCATATCAACTCTCCTGTTCCAAGAAATGACACACAAACAACCCGCGCTCTCTATGTTCCCAACCAGGACAGCGAAACCAAACAAGAATAACCGAGACCAGATAGATTGGTATTAAAAGATTGCTTAAATGATTTCATTGTGCTCGTCTTATCACCCATAAGAAGCAACCAACTTATCAAACTAATTACAACATTGAGTTTGCTCTCTTCTTTCTGGTTTTGAGAACTAAAGGGACACTTATAATGCACAGTATAAGACAACTTATCCTGCCGGAAACATGAACTAGTTCATACACCATCATGTGAAAGGTGAAAGCAAAAGATAGCTGTATAGACATAAGGACTGTACCTATTCAAGCATGACACGTCTAGTGTCAGTTTCACCTTCTTGCCAGTAGTAAAACTCATAAAATGAAGCTGCAACTCAAGTTTCTCAACTGCAAACGTGAAGTCAAGTGTTCAGTATAAAGACGTCCCATGCTTATACTACCAAAATAGTTTAAATTATCTGCAATAGCATTGACTACTAAAAACCTAGTCCATAAGGACAAATTTACTGTTTATTGCAGAAGATTTTAGTTTCCAATAAATTGCAGTAAAAGTGAAGGCATGAAGTGCCCGTGTGTCATCTAGACATGAATTCATCTGTCTAACAATCCTAAAATATGAATTTATCCACATTTCCCTCCTTTTGGTGATAAAAGAACTAAAGAATCATGCGATATAACCAATGCAGCCAAAGAAAATAATTAACAGTATTCATCTCCTGGGGACAGCAAAGCTATCGCTAGACGCTACTAGTCACTTATCTTCAATTTCCTTAGTACATTTCCATGCTAGAAACCTAATATATGAAATGTGGTGTGTAAGAGGAGCTCAACAACTTGAGAACATGAAAAATGACAACAATCATCAGAACTGCGCAGCTAGAAATACAAAAAGGATGTGCAACAAACAGGCGGCACAGCCTTATGTGAAACTTACAAGACGAGAGAAAGAAAACTTTAAGGTGGATGAAAAGAATAACAAATAGCCCCTTGAAAGGAAGAGACACAATAGAAACGGTAGAATACATCGACAACCCCTTAAACTTGCCATTAAATTTCTCTTACACACTCAAACTATGGCATGTCCTGGTTGAGACCTAAACATATGATAGAGTTCTCTTATTAAACACTTCCGACTCAAATTTTGGGAAAACCTTTGCGCCTGTTCCCGACCGTCTGTTACGAAATAAGCTAACCACTTAAAATATGTTGCTTCCTTTAATTGTATGCATTAACCTCAATAAGGGGGAAACCTCATGCAAGTTCCAAATGATGTGTATAATTAAAGGAGGCAATTTTATGTTATTAATGTATCAACATAAGGGGGCTAGTGATCACGCACAAAAACTTTTCCAAAATATGAGTTGGAAGTGTCTAATAGGAATACTTTATCATGTGTTTGGGTGCTTAATTGGAACATGTCCAGTTCAAGTGTCTGAATGAAATTACTCACAAGTTTTAGGGGCTATCAATGTATTCAGACAAAGGAAATGATAATCTAAAATTCAATTAAAACTATATAGGAAGAAAGAATGAGTCTTTCCATAACGGTACCATTTGTGACCATTCTTGCAAGACACACAGCAGCACAACTAAATTAAATAAGAACACATACAAATTAGAACTTACTACCCCTAATCCAACAGTATTAAAATATTCACACTGTTCTGTTTTACAAGAGGCTTTCTATTTTAGAAAATCCTGACATGTTAAACCATTCCATTAACGATGTATTCAATGTAACTTCTGCAAATTTCAGGATTTTGCAGAAATAAATCTATTCAAATGTTCTCTCAAATTAGCTTTACACAGATTATTTTAATTTCACACCATCAATATAGCATAAAAGTCATATATATTAGCATGTTAAAATTCCATACCTAGTCAAATTATGTCACATAATATAGGGTAGAAGCCTAGGACTAATTAAACAACCTAAAACATTAATATAGGGTAGAAGCCTAGAAGGACTAATTAAAAAAAGCTCAAACATTAATTCTAAATTACTGAAATTACAGAAATAATTGTCAGCAAGCACCTGATGCTAGAGAAGTACAGGCCTAAGTGCAAACAGATATCATAAGCAGAAATCAGCAGGTCGGACCAGAAATGAAAGAAAGAATTCAACAACAATACCAGTTGGAGTGGAAAAGGTAATATCAGCCAAGTTCCGGAACTGTGTTTGTGCCTTTTGCACCTCGGTGACCACATCAAGCGAGTTGCCTAAAAGAGAACTGGTAACCTGCACATATTATCAATATACTTTTATTAATCCAAGAAGCTTGAAGTATCTAAGCGGAATTCAAAAAGCAGCTCAGCAAGGTTAGCTGTTAAAAAATTCTTCTAAAGGCAAGTAGTTAAAGTCAAAGTTCTAACACAGTTCCGGACATGAAAAAGAACATCATGAGAATCGTTTTACTGATAGTTTTTCATTTGTGTCCAACAATCAATGGCCCAAAATAAGTCTTTCGGTGGATTTTATAGTTATTTACGCAGGAATTATATCTCGCTTCAGCATCTTCTTTCTAAGCTTCAAAAGCAGCAGAAGTAATAGGCAGATATATGTGATTTTAATGTTCAAAAGGGAAGAATTTTGATGTTTAAAGGTTAAATATGTTACAAGTCTATCACACCATAACGCGCCCATTGCATGGAAGCTAAGGGAGTCTCATCATGGCATGGATAACGAATGGACATGTTTTCATGAGGAAGTTTTAGCACATTTCGAGAAAAGGCCCAAGATAGTTCCTCATCTTTGGGTTAAGACTCAAAGTCCTCCTTCAGTTTTCACATGGAGCATTAATAGTCTCACTCATATTTGCAATATTGGCACACTTTTGGTCCTCCATAAAAATTTTGCCAAATTTTTAACATTGATTTTATTCATAATTTATGTATGGAATGTTTAATCCTCATTTAATAACTCCATGTGAGAGATTTTAAGAAGAAAAATACCTTCTTTTGTTTAGTAGAGATCGTATTGCAGGCAAAGTTGAGAGGTTCATCACGACGACTTCACGCACAAAAGTACAATTTTTTCTTTTCTTGCAATGTCATATGTTAAAATGTTCTTAGTTTAGGTGCAGTAATATTTATACTGAACTACAATGTGTTCTTCTCACCTTCTCTCACATAGAATTATTATTTCTACTAAATATATAAAAAGACGATGGGACATTCCTTACATAAAATTATGAACAAAATTAATGTTAAAAAAATAGGTTAAAGTTTAGGGAAGGACCAATAATGAAAACTCAAGGATGACTTTGAGTTTTAACCCAAAGATGAGGAACTATTTTGGGCCTTCTCTTGCACATTTCAGCCCAATCTTGGTAGGCAAGGAAGTCACCCGGTAGTCACGGCGTGCAGTGAAACAGAGTATTAACGAGTGAGTTCAAGAAAATAATCCAGCACAATTTGGATCTACTTTGACTCTAACACATGAAGGTTGCCCAGATGTCAACTAGATCAGGCATTAGCCTCACTGCCACGTTACCCAAGGAAGCTCAATGACCATCAAATCTAAGGCGTGAAACTTGTCTGGCAAGCCAAGCAACTCGCACATTACCCACACGGTGGCCCCAACACCATATGCCACATCGTGAAACCTCAACCACTGTAAAAGGAGTTTCAAGATTTTGTCCAAAACCTCAAGTCATGAGTTAGGGGACATGTTTTGGAGAAAAATTACACCCTAAGACTTGATCAAACAACAAAGGTAGGACCGGTACTTTGGGATATTTAATGCGTATAAATGCAAGCCCTTCAAAGACCTAATTCTAGGTGCTTAGATTGCTAAAAAAAGTTCTTCAAAAGGACAAGAGTTGGGGTGTTGATCCTTTAAGGTGATTTCTCCACCTTGGCTTGATAAATTAGTATCAATGTGATATGGGTAGACTATGTAATATGTGTGGTAGATATTACTTATTCAATGGAAGTTGGAGTGGTGCTCACATCATCAAGGGGTATTAATGGTGGTTAGTGGATAGAAAAACTTGAAGGTTGGTGGTTGTAAATTGTAATTAATGACCATAAATGATCAAAAAGTTGTTAATGGACTATCGAAATGGTGGAAATAGGATGGGTGAGTAAAGACCTCACCCTTAGTTGTGTAATGGTTTGATGGCCTAGAGCTGAAATCTATTTTTTGAAATTGAACTAGATCATAAGCCTTGACTGACATGTTTAGACCTTTAGATATGTAGATTGAACTAAGTAAACCTTGAATGATATGTTTGGGTCTTATCAGGTGCTAACCAAATTCTTTTACATAGGCCAAGCATGTGGAGGGGTTTTTTAAAGGAGAGCGATGAGACTCAAACTCACGACCTTTATCTGCTCTGAAACCATATTGAAGTGTATGATCGTCCCATCTAAAGACTTAAATCATTAGTGAGAACATTTAAATTACTCAATTATGGGTTCCACATCTAGCACAATTATATATGGTTTGACACGATTTGAAGCGACCTTGATCGCTCTCTATTTAACTGACACACAGCCTCTAATCTATGCATCTATTTGATAATCTATGTTAGCAGTTACCATAAATGGTCATCAAGAGGGCATTGACAGCTTGTAGCGATGTCTCTTTCAGTAATTCCATACCAAGGACCTAACTATTTCCTAGGTATTGAAGTAGCTCAGTCTATATCAAGTATTGTTATTTCACAATGAAGTATGCTCAGGACATACTTGAGAAAACAAGGATGACAAACTGTAGACCTATCAATACCCCATGCATCTGAATGTTAAGCTTCTCCCAGGTCAAAGGGGACCTCTAAGAGACCCTACGGGAAACAAGAGATCAGTTGGAAAACTGAAATTTCTCTGTATAACACGATCTGAAATTTTGTTTAGAGAGAGTTTCATCAGTGAGTTTCTAGATTCTCCATTTGAAGTAAAAGTTATCATTCTTAAAAAAAACAGATTCTCCATTTGAAGGTCGTTGAGACGCATTAGTTTGTATTCTTCAGTTTTGCTCCAGGAAACAGGTGACGTTATTTGAATTAAGGACATTATTCCATATGCACAAGTTGATTGCATATGGTCCGTCTAATCAACATTTAAAATATGGATATAGTGTTCAGGTTGAGACAATCCAGTATATAAGAAGAGCAAAAACCAACACATGATTGCAAGATCCAGCATTGGAGCTAAATATCAATCCATGGTTGTCGCAACCTATAATTCAATAAACAACTATTGAAAGAGTTGAAATTTGAAGAATTAAACAACTATTTCTCAAATTTCCTGTAAATAAACGGTTTGATAAGTTTTCCCGGTGCAGGTTATGCCATGGAGTGCTAGTCACGTGACCCCTTTTCAGGGCGACATAGTCACCACAAGCCAATAAGAAAATGTGTTAATCACGAACTTGTTTGACTAGCCTGAAGTTTAAAAAAGAAATACTTTTGAAACTTGTGTTCTAAGACCAAAACAAGTCATAAAGTTTTTGTAGCTTAAATCATCTCATAAAGAGTTCTAAGAAAAATGATAAAGGTGAATTTTTACAAATTTATCAGAATAAAGGGTATGTTGGAAATTAGCAACTGAGTAGCACAAAAATAATTCTCGCAGATTATGCAGAGATATAATAAAGTTTACTATAGCCTCTACATTGTAACAATCATGTGCATCTGCTGCCACGCTAGTCCAAAAAGACAGTAAAGAAATACAACTAGCCTTAACCATTTGTACATTTGTCATGTCCTATTTAGTTTTGATGAAATTTTCCACAAACTTCCTCATTTGTGAACTTCCATAATCATTCTTTAAGAGGATAACTTTATGCATTTTCAAACCTCTAACCACAAGGCCTCCATCCTTTTTCCCTTTAATACTGTATATCCAATTGATAAGATTGAAAGATTTCTTGTTTCTATTTCCTTGACATAGAAAGTCTCTAAGAACCTTGTCAGTTTTCTTTGCAACAAAAGCAGGTAGAGGGAATGACAACATAGCTCTTCTTTTTTTCTTCTAATTTCTCAAAACTGTTCTCAATGTGAGAAAGGTGGTAGGTACTTTACATAGATATACAAAATTGTCTATTGTTGCTTTGGAAATTCATTAGCTTGTACTTTTTACCTGCGTTTCTTGTGCGGGAGTCCTAGCACCAAATTTCTTTGAGATCTCAGCCTTTAACACAAATCTTAATGCAGCACAAGCATTGATATTTGGGAAATTCTACAAGCCAAAATGTAGCACATCAAAATAAAATCAAACTAGGAAATGAAATACAAAATAATTTTCCTCAGCATAATCATGACTTTTACCTTTGTGATTAGTAGATCATTCAAATTGTTAGAGATGATGATGCTTGGATTTGGACCAACAGTCACCTTCAAACTGGAATTATAAACAAATAAAAATCTAAACAATCACAACACAGAGGTAGAACAGAACTTTTTTCAAAAACGTAATCGTGAAAAATAGTTGGAAAATTGTAAGAGAAACCTTTGAACCAGTAAATCAAGATAGTTGAGGATGATATCGTAATGTCCATTCCCTTTCCTCACATTCTGAATGACAAACATCTAAAAATAATAATAAATGATGTATGTTAGTGACACAAGAAAAAGCTTGAAGCATTATAACTCAGGACAGAGGAGACCTGCATATCTTGATGTAGGAATCTACAACACGATCTCCTCATTAGATGTTCCTTAACAGAAATGATAGTATCGGCACATTTTGGTTCTCCCTTAAGTTTCAAGGAAGAATGCAAGGATCTAGTCAGAGTTGCAACTTTTCTTTCTGAAATTTTTAAAGCCTCCTTGATAGTGGTCCCTTTATTATGTGGCACCTGCATTACCATAAACCGTTCGTATAGTACTTGAATCATGAAAAGAGTAAGTTGTCTAAGTCACTAGTAAACTGCATCCCAGAACTAGATTAAATTGGTCATAGCAAGTACGACATGTTAGACGGAGCAGAGGAATAGCTTTATATATGTCACAAACAAAATATACAAAAGTTTTTTGCTAATATCAAGCATGTTATCTTTAATTTCTCAAACTTCTGAGTCCTCTAAAAAGAGAAGGCAAAAAAACTTAATAAATGATATCCACATCATGAGCAAATGAAAAAAAAAAGGTCTAAATCCTTCCTCACACAGACACATGCACACGTGCAGAGGATGATAAACTGTAATACAGTTGTTCTTAATGTCTTCATCGCATAAAGACAAAAGAACCTGAAATGTAAGAAAAATTCTTGAATACTAGAGGTAACAGTGCTAACTAGTTATTCAAGAAGCATGGTTACTAAAGAACAAGCTGATGCATCTTGCCATCTTTCAGGTGTGCCATAATTAAATTTGATGTATAGACCTGAACTCCAGTCTGTACCAGATAAATCAGTAGAATATGAATTTATGATTATTATGTACCTCGTGCCCTCACAACATACAGAAGACAAACTTCAACTGGGAAGAAAAAGGCACTAAAACCAAAGATTGAGCCTTCATAACTGTAGAGTAACCACATATATTGATCGGGACAACTACGATCACTTACACTGTCACAAAGTGGATGGCGAGCTACAAATACAGAAAGGATAATAACTGACATATAAAGTCTCAGACCAATGGCAATCTTATATGTCTATATGTAAAAGAGATCCAAGCCCCACCTACATGGCAAGCCACAAATCAGGAATGTATTTAACTATTTCTACAGAATTTTGACAATAAACCAAATCACTGCCCCTTCAGACTAAAACGTCGCATCCTCAAAAGTTCGAAAAAACACTTTAGCACTCCCCCCACCCCACCCCCACCCGTTACACCCCTATGATCTCCTTCCTGATCTCTCTGTTTTTCACCCCATAACACCTTCCACACTTTCACCATAAAAGACATGTCTTCAGTGTTCTTAATTCCCTTCCATCTCTCTCTTATTTCTCCCAAACATTATTACTTTATGCTCTTCCTTTTTTTCATGATTCTTTTTTTTTTTTTTTTGCGATAAGGGTAGCTTTGTATTCACACAAAAAATTTATCATTTCAATGAATGATGAAGTAGAAACTTACAAACCAGAGTGGTGGCCACACCCCCCTTTGGGTACTTTTACAAGTTCCCTGTGAAATCTACCAAATCTACTGTCTCCCCTACCAACTCTTGTTTACACCAAAAAAATAGCAGGCTTATATGCTCCATCTTAATCATCTGTATCTTGACACTCTAATCTTCAAAGCACCGATTGTTCCTTACACTCCATAAGGTCCACCATGTACAAGCTGATATTGTCTTCCACCAATCTTCTTCCCTCCCTCTTTTGCCAATTCCTCACCATTGATTCATCAACTCCAAGGTTGTCTTGTGCATCACCATCACGCAACTAAATGCACAAGAAACTGCTCCAAAGGCTTAGGCAGTTTTGCAATGCATAAACAAATGACTGTTGACTTCTACTTCCACTTCACACATAAAACATCTAGAACATATCTGCCATCCTCGTTTCTGCAGTGCCTCATGTGTGAAGCAGGCTTTCCTGCACCCTAGCCATGAGAAACAAGTCAATTTTGGTGGACTTCTGGCTTACCAGATTGCCTTCCAAGGCCCTGTGTCTATTGCTATTTGGTTGGAATTGATATTCCAGTAACATGACTTGACTGTGAAGTAGCCTTTGCGGTGTAGTTTCCAGATTGGATTGTATGGGCTCAATTGAAGTTTTTCCTTTAGTTTGAACATTCACATTCGTAAGTTTAATAAAGTCATATATAATCGTGCGGAGCGCGGGTAAATTATCCAGTAGATCAATAAGTCAATAAATCCAGTTACAAGTTTTTAGCGATGGGCCAAATTCAGAAGTAAAATTTACATTTAATGACATAAACATGCTCATAACATCAACAACTATAACCTAGCAACACCAACTTTTGAGCTAAAGAAGAAACCCCGAGGATGGAGAAATAAATAACGGTCCAGGCAAATAAAATGATAGATTGAAAAGGAAGTTTTCCTGTTAGCTTCATTCCTTTTTTTTTTGATAACCGAGAAATTCGTCTGTGACCCGCCCTTTGGACCAATCACAGCCTTCTAAACTCGGTGGATAAATGCATTGAATATATCCTAAACTTCTGGACAGAAAATATAACCAGCACCTCAAAGTGTCCTAGAAGTGATAGGTACTCCAAACAGCAGAGTGTAATCAAAATTTGATTTCTATAAAGTACCTCCTGCGGAGCCTTTTCATAGGCTGATGACCTCTCACTAGAAATAATATCACCCTGGATGCCTCTTGAGACAGTTACAGAATTATGAAGTGAATGATTGATCTTTGACATTTGAGACTTCTGAATTGCAGAATTCAAGAGTTGACATTTTTCCTGTATGCACTAAGTAAATTATGTAAAAAAAAAAAATGGCAACATGATCATAAAAATAGATTGACAGAAATACTACCAGCAGTTTCTCCTTCTTCACACGCCTCAAGTGGAACTTTGCTTTCTCATGTACAAGCTGACATAATAACATTATTGCTTCAACAGCTCTGTGTTACCATTACAAATTAGAGAGATGACACGTTTTCCAAGCACACACTAATCTGATGTCACATAGATGAACAGTAGTTATGTTGGAAAAACAAAGGTGAAACAAGAATTTACCTTTTCTCCTGAAAATTGGAAACTGACGCTTTCTGAAAAGACGAGGAAATCAGTGTCAGTAGTTATTAAAACTTCCTGTGGTGTTAAAAAGAATACATTAAACAATTGATCTATTATTATTTTGCTTTTCATTATCTCTGAAACATTAATCAACGTATCCCCAAGCAAAGAAACCTGAGTGAGAATTTGACTGTGCAAAATATCGTATGTCTTTGCCTTCTGCATCCGGGTGACGATGTCTTCCACCATTTCAATCTACAACAATTTAGTGGCAAATAATAATGATGATAAGGCAAAACAAATCAAGATCTGTTATTTTATATCTAGAAGCAAATCCCACCAACAGAGACATTTCTACAGCACATTTTGAAGTGAGAAGACTCACCGCGGGCATAGTAAGCCTTTCTTTAGGCAAAGATATCCACTCATCTGCATCATCCATAAATTTGGAATTAATCTGCAAGGTGAAGAGGAAGCTTTTTCATTTCACGGGCTCTCTTCAGAAGAAGTGTCATCCAGGCAAGCAATAAAGGAAGACCATAAAGCAATCTTACATCTTTCCACTGTCTGAGTTCATCATGAGCTCTGTGCATTTCTTTTCCACTATCATCAGGATTTCCCGAAGTTCCTGGATAATTACCAACCCCTCTCTGGAGTTTTGGGCTCCTATGAGACATGATAATCTCATTTGTGTGTTCCATATCTCCAAATGTCAATTCTTCACTGCTTCTTTTATGGGCAGAAGAGTTTCTAGGTCTGCCAATAGATTGATTGGATCTTGGAGATTGCATCACTTTATCTATAGAGAAACATATAGAGTTGGATTGTGCCAGTGAGTGATGCCCCTTTGCTGATGGACTTTGTGAAGACCATTTTACAGGAGTCTGCAGAATATGGTTATATAAGTACTAAGTGAATATTGTATGCAAGTTGCAAAGTTCCAACCTAAAAAGGTTCCAGAAACTCATTCAGCTAGCGTGTGCATAGAAGCCACAATAAGGATTTAGAGTTATAAACTAAATGAAACACCAAATTCTTAATTGAAAAAAAAGATCCAGCCATAATCATGTTCACATTTCAGTTTCAAAATTCCACAATTAACAAAAAAGGAAGAACACTTCTCAAAGACAGTAGTGTCTTTAAGGAATAAAGGACAACACCACATTCATAAGAGAGAATAAAATAGAGGGTAAAATAACCATAGGGAAGTAGTAAATAAGCAAATCATCATGGCTCATGTAGGACAGGTCTGCATACTGACACTACAAAATAGTTAATGATAGGAGTAAACAACACTTAATAGAATAGAATGATGTACTTACCTTTTCAACTACCAAAGAATCTAGATTCTGAATAGAGGAAGAAGCAGCGCAAGCAGAAGAAGACTTATTTTTCTCTCGAGGATCAATTTCAAGTTCAGGGAAACCTGTTGCACACTGAATATTCCCATCTAATATTGCTGACGATAGATGAGAGCTTCCATCCCTAGAGATTCTCAAAACCTCATTGTTTCCCAGTTCATTAGTTTGCTCAGGGAGCTTAGCTTCTATGCTATGTGTCCTTTCTGGTTGCCTTAACACTTTGCTTCCTTCGACAACTGGTGAACCAGACTGTTCTTCGGTTAATGTGGATGCAGAATACCAGTTGCCAGCCGTTGCAGTCACAGATGGTCCATCTGTCACATTACTAATTGAAGATGCTTTTTTTACCGGGCCAAAGCTTTTCAGATGTTCATCATCCAACTTTGATTCTTTAAAAGGGCTAGACTGATGTTCAGTACACTTTGAATCCAAGGACTTTTCTGGAGTAAATACCAATTTTTGAGCAATGGCAATCACTTCCTCTCGCCCTGAATAATCAACCAATGGGGAATCAGTTCTAGAAATCAGTGATATCTTCTGTCTGAGGTCATTTGGTGTAACCATGTCATTTTTCTTCCCTGACAAAGAAAACCTTGATGAAGACGAGGGGTCTGCAGGCTTCAACAGTTGATCCATGGGGAGAATACCAGCTTCGAGTTGATTGAGAGATTTCTCGGGCTTTTCTGGACCAAAAGATTGTTCACATTGAATTACATCTTCACTACTTGAAAGAGCCTTACTCCAACTACCACCTGGGGTGAATGTTTTTCTTTCTCCCTCCTTCATAGTAGAACCTGAAATTTGCTCCTCTGAACAAGTCATAGCGGCATCCAGACGTTTCACTCCCATATCCAGGTTCCTTTTCTTCAATATAGAATCCAAAGGAGGTGTTTTTGGAAATTCTAAAGCTCTAACGCCCATGTGGGGGATTTTGTCACCACCGAAAGAAGAGAATGCAGAAGCCTTAAGCCTTTCAAGTTTGGAAATGCTCTTCTGGAGGGATGCTGAACTTGTCCAAGGTCCTCTCTTTCCATTGCTCAAAAAGGAAATGGGATCTTCCAGGAAAGGCAGTTTGGAAATGCTCTTCTGGAGGGATGCCGAACTTGTCCAAGGTCCTCTCTTTTCATTGCTCAAAAAGGAAATGAGATCTTTTGGGGAAGACACTGCCGTTGAATTCTGTTTGACAGGTGAAGGACTACCCATGACTATTAGTCTTTGTGTAGCTGGTGAAGAGGACACTGAATCTACCACCGGAGATACCCTATCGCATGGAAGCCCACAAAATTCACTACGCTCACCATTGTTACTACATAGGGCTTCACTGTTTTCTACCACAGAAGCATCCTTGACAGACATATTATTTTCACCAAAATCCTGCAATTTAAACAACGAAAAAACATGAAGTCAGTGCACTGGGAGAAAGCACAGTAGCTTAAGCCTAATTTCCTAACCAGCAAAATCATTTACCATAACTATTTGACTCAAACAAATCACTCAGGAATATGGATCAAGCATATTTGTTTGACAATTCAACAAGTAGTTTAACCCCAACTGGTATGTACAAGATTGTAAATAATGCATCCCTAAACACATCAGCTACTTGACAATTCAACAAAGATATTAGACCCAATATGATTTGTACAGGACTGTAGAACACTCACTAACCACATATAGATTAACTTAATTGATTAACCACCACCGCCGCCACACACACACACACAAAAAAAAAAAAGAATTAAGAAACAATACAGAAGCACATGACCAGGTATCATAAATACATTTGAAGATGCATGGGATTTACCATATGTAAAATAAGACTGACACAGGAATCACTCTTACCGTGTTAATCGGTCATACTTTAGTCTATGCAATTAGAATGAGATTCAGGTTCCAGAGCACCTTTTGTTCTAAAAGAATTGGCGATGGCAACTAAATGATCATATATTATATTTGAAGTCATCTAATTGTCAAATAAATTCAGCGTCAAGAACTTCAGAGAAGAAAACAGTACAGACATGAACATTATGTCAAATGGAAAATGATGAAGTATTTACATAGATGTAAACTAAAGAACTGATTTATAGACAAGCACCAACCATGTGGTGTCCCAAGATGGTATAACCATAAGAAAGTAACAGATCGAGCTATTGATTGTGCATTTAAGCAATGGAATTAACGAACCATAACTTGGGTACTTACATTACTTAACTGCTTCAGTGACTGGTTTACTCTATCGTCATTATTATCCGGGGCTGGAACAGTGGATCTAAGTGATGATTCACCATCAACAACACGAGAAAGAAACTTATAGCCATCATCTGCGTCAACTTTCTGGCACAAAGGTTCAAGTGGCATTTTAAGACTACCAATTGCATTTGCTTGTTGTTCTCCATTTCCACTTAAATCCATCATTGTACTTCCAACCTCCATTTCCTTGCTTGTTGGTGACTTTGGAACACTGGTATCTCCTGAAACAGCTGCATGCAATCTCTCTTGGCCTTCAGCTAAAAGAGCTTCTAAATCAGGAGAGAGTATCCCATAATCATATCTTCGCGAGTTTTCTCCAATCAGACTCATGTCACTCGAATCACTAACGCCACTAAAATTGGCAACGGGCATACAAGATTGAGAAATTGGCTTATTGGCTATTGTCAGTTCCATGGAACTACGCTGACTGGTCTGTGTCGGTGTTTTCTCTTCGAATGATACTTCTGTTGGGGTCTTCAAGTCTATCCCTGAATCTGATCTAACAAATCTACGGAAGTGCATGGAGAAAGCTGTTGAATCCATAGTAATATCATGATTTTCGTCTGACGCTGCTGAATCTGATAGTCGGCCTGGCCTTATAAAATTGGGAGATACTGGACCGAAAAAATTATCTTCTGCACACAATAAAGGCCAAACAATAGACTACTGTCACAAACTCTAAATGGTTTAACATTCCGATCAAATCAACATAATTATGTCTAATGGAACAGACCCCTCAAAACTGAAAAAAAATCTTTCAATCAACAGACCAAAAAAAATGATCTTTTCTCATTTCCTATTCAATGACCTCAAAGACTACAAATTCCTTCCAGATAACAAATCTATTAGCATGTTCACACGCAAAAGCAGCTATCCTGATATGAGATATCATAGAAGTCCTTTCACAAAATGTGGCCCAAGGCAAAAGGGCATTGAAGAATGCAGATAACAGATAAAAATAAAAAGGAGCCGAACTCTCCTAATTATTTAGTCTCTCAAAATAACAATTATTCAAGCCATAAAAACCATACATAGCTCTTCTTTTTCCGAGAAAGACATACATAACCTCCTATCTCTAGCATGAAGATGATCAATACAAGGTGTTGAAGTATAACCATCTCATCTAAAAGCTTAAGTTGTTAGAGAAAGCACACTTTTATTATTTAATTACATTTTCAACACGCCCCCTCGCGCGTGGACCTGAATTTTTTTCATGGGTCAAGAACGTGGAAATTCTTTTTTTTTATTTGGGTGGTGAGATTCGATCTCAGGACATTTACATGCTTTAATACCATCTAAAAGCTTAAGTTGTTAGATCAGCATGTCCCCTCACATGATTGCTTGATTCTTTTTCATGGGCCAAGCACGAGAAAATTCTTTTTAATATTGTGCACTAAATAGAGTACATTCGTAAGTTCTACAAACAGGCGTTGGGGTGCCATGGCACCTATAACCAAGGGTAGACCCGCAACGTACATTTGGTGCCAAAGACACACTTAAGCTCTGAAGCGAGCGCAAACCATGTTGAGCGCTTTGTCTTGCTTAATGAGTGCTTGAATGTCGTCAAGGCTCTAGGACATACTTATTCTTGTCAATAAAGCTCTCCTAAAGAGGAACACTAAACAAATTATGTCACTTTATCATTAAAAAAATTAATTTCTTTGTCTATATATTTGTTATTCATGCTTATTTTATGAGTATTGGATTAAACATTTATGTGTGTGTGTGTGTGTATTTATCTCCATTCGCACCTTTTTCCATTGAAGTCCACAATTTATCTGCAATTAAATCCCCAATGGACCTTGTGTTTTTTTGCGCTTTTTTGCTTTTGATAACACTAATAAATAATTGAATGGGAGCCCAATTAATATTATTACATGTTAAATTGAGGTCGGTATAGGAATCCATATACTTTAAATCCTAGATACATCTCTACCTCTAACTCGCAAATAATACAAATAATATGTTAGATATGTTTTCAAACTTGGCTATATAATTTGAGTCAGCATCCACATTTTGATAAGAGGAATAGGTGCAGAGCTTGGGAACTACCCTAAATGTTACTTTGGCAAAGAGTAAAATTTGAAACGGTCAAGCTCCTATTTTACTTTATCCAGGATTTCAGATAATTTTGTATACTTCTGTTTCTTTCTTTTATCATTATGCTCCTTTTCTTATACTGTTTTAGGTCCAGACAGGAACCTAAAACACTTGAAATCTCATACGTTAATTGAAGTCCCAACTACTAATAAATTAGAATTTCCATCTTTCTAGTTGAGAACTATTGGTCCCTTTGAAACTCGAATTTATCAAATTAAAGATGCATTTCTTTTATTTATTAGATTCAAAAATTTGTGGATAGTTATAGTGTTCAATCTGATTTTAAATTTTTTTTGGCGTTCGAATCATGCTGAGAATGTTGTATGCTTCAGCAGATAGTATGAATTGACTTCTGATATGCTTTTCAAGTTTTCTATTTGCGTTCTATACTATTCGTCCCAGAGAATCATAAAATCTGCATAGGTAACATTTTGATCATAATACATTGTGCTCTTGTGTTGATTTTTCAATTAGTTAGGAGTACTTAATAAGAAGATCTCAAATCATCATTGCTTAAATCTAGCTAAAACTGTACACATTGTTCTGAATGCACTGTTCTTCGTTTCATTAGTATGCTTAGTAGATAATTCATGGTGGATGAAATTGCTATTAAGAAAATGTCACAGAGATTCCATTATATTTATCTATATGGATCAGAAACCTAATTAACAAAAACAAATTAACCCTTGTCCTTTGCATTCTTCTATATCTCTTACATAGATACACACACAGATAGAAGAGGACGGAGAAAGAAAGCACTTGCCATCATTTGAAGTAGCAGAACCGAAATTGCTGCCAGGAGAAGGTGATTCTTCAGGTCTTAAAAACGACCTAGGCAAAGGCATCTCATCATCCCCATCCTCGTCTTCATCCTCATTATTTCCTTCGTCGCCATCTTCTCTATCCTCGTTGAGCAACCAGGACTCTTTGGGATCGTCCACCAATTGATCAAAACCTAGGTTCACCTCTTCACTTTCACTGTTATTTTCAGCTTTGCCGGAGAGGTTAGGAGGAGTTTCGTACTCTTCATCACGGTCGAAGAAGTGTACAGAAGTCATCTCAGCAAAGCTGACTCTTCGAGCTCGCTTCCTCTGCATCGCCATGGTGGTACCGCCGTCCGAGTTCTCTGCATTGTTGTTGTTGTGAATTTGCCGGCGGTCCTCGCTGGTGCCGCCGCCGGCGTCAGTCGTCGGCGCTGACATGGTAGCGAATTGGGATGTAGATTTTCAAATTTTTGAAATTACTGTGAAATTCATTGCAGTCTGGAGATTAGGGCTCGTTTGTACTACACTCATTGACAAGCAAATGAGTGATCTTTTTTTGTGCGGGAAAAGGCAAAATGTATTCCCTTTAAAATACTCACATTTTTATAAAGTTATAGATTTATCGTTTAACCTATATCAAAATACTATTTGAATATTTAGTTTAAATTTTTTTAAAGTTATTATTCTAATAACAAAAATTTTCACAATTTGTTAAAAGTATAACATTTCTCAATTTTTATACGTTCTGAAAAAAAATGAGTTATTTAAACTTGACACAAATTTTATTTATTATATTTTATTAATGAATGAGCAAATTCGCGAAAAATTGATGGATAGGTGCATTAACCATAATTTCTTTTTCTTTAAAGTGAGATTCATTTACAAATATTATGTCTACCTAGGGATGGATGGCAATGGGGAGGAGGTGTAAGATAGGGATGGTGTGGATTGAGCTTAATTCGCAAAATTTTTAATTTGCCTGCCCCGCATGAACCTACCCTATATAATTTTTTAATATTTACTTGTTTTAGTTATGTTTGATACTAAAAATAAAATTTACAAAAATAAATTTATTTTTTTCTTAAGTTGTATTAACTTAACAGGATAGTGACTTAAAATTTTATTTTTGTAGAGGTCAATTGAAAAACATGAAAGAAATCGTATTATTCTTTATTGAACCATTTTCATATATTATCTTGAATATTTTAGTAACTTTAATGAAATTATCTTAATAAAAAATATTTTATCGCTGCTTTATAACACGTAAAAAATTAAAATTAAATTTAAATCCACATAAAATCACATACACCGGCAACTCGCCCCGCCCCACATTATTTTTTTAAAACCCACTTTAACTCGCCCTGCATTCGACATGTCCAACATAACCTTAAACCCACCCCACATAGACTTAAATCCACACACCCCACCACCACCCAATTGTTTACTGTATACAGGAAAGGGATGGTACCAAATTATATGGTCAAACTTAAATAAATATAAAACAGAAATTTTTTTAATTCAACTCAAATAACTTGTTGAAATTTGATCTGAAGGATTTGAATCCAACAATGCAACACATGTAGTTTAGTTTCTGTTTGAGCTAATGCTGGCTTATTAGGTTATCAGTCGAAGGTAAAACGGTGGAAGACTTACGTCTCATCACAATTCACAACGAAGCCTCCAATTCGATTGAGCCACCAGTATTCAAAATTTTGCAAGTACACAAGTATAGTAGTTTCTGAAGAAAAAAAAACACTGTATTCTTTTGTTAATTATTGCATTGATGTATAACATTATTTAGAGTCACAAAATACACCGTGTAAAACTCACCAAAGTTTGGTTATACTCACACATTGAGATAACAGAACTATAGGATTCTGTCACAATATGTCTACTATTGTTGCAACATACCATATATATATATATATGTATAATGTTCAAAAAGTTAGGATTTGTTTCTCCATCAAATTATCATCTGTCGTTGCATCGTCTGATAATTGAGTAGGTGGTTCTTCGTCCTTGTTTGCTTTAATTATATCGACTCTCGTTCTCAAGAAGCTAGGTTGATTCGTTGAAGATAGAAGTCTCGCCCACATCCTGTCTGTAATCACAACCTTGTTTTGTTTCTCAATGATTCTCTGTTATATAAAAGTAGATCATATATTAGTGCTGCCAATCTTGGGCATCATAAGGTAATTAACAAGGATAACCGTAAAACGAGTGAGAGGAAATGAAACTCACATTAAAGGGTATGTAAGCATTTCTGTTATTGACAGGACCAACCGTGAAGCCTGTGTAGCCAGCCATTGCTCCATGTACAGCGCTTTGCGCTAGAAGAGTGCAATACACATTGTCAGATGCATTACTCGGAATAGCCCGAATCATGTATGTGGGATCTGCACAGGGACCAGATTGACAAACAGGTTGTTAGCTAGGGTCCTCATCAGGTTGGCATTCATTCAAAACAATAGTAATAATTACAAACCTATGTATTTAAGATTAATGAGCATCTTCTTTTGTTTCGAGAAATGCTCCTGCAAAAAGGTTCGTAGTGTTTAGTACAACTGCACACAATGTAGTGTTCAATGAACGTGCACTTGAGTAGGACGATCGTTAAGTAGAACCCATACCTTTATCCTTTCCGAGATCCATAAGCCAACATCTTGTAAAAGTTTATTCCCTGAAGGATCAGTGGATTTCAAACTCTCGGAAACTAGCTCTTGTCCAGCACCTTCAGCTATGACTATAACCATATGTCCATTGTCTTTGAGTCTATGTTCGATATACTCAAACAGTCCACCGCTTCCTTCAAGATAGAAAGGGGATTCTGGAATCAAACAGCAGTCAACATCTCGACTAGCAAGAGTAGCATACATCGCGATGAACCCTGCACAATGAACACATGTTAAAGAAATGTAAATCAGACAGACAATTTCTGCTATCTTTGTATGCAGTCGATCAGTTTTGTCATGTATATGTAGCAGTATCAATCTGCAATTGAAAAATATAGCAGGTGAAGATTACCACTGTCCCGTCCCATTAACTTCACAAGGCCAATTCCATTCTCAAAACTGGTAGCTTCAACATGAGCAGCACTGATAGCACGTTGGGCTTCCTCAACGGCGGAGTCAAAACCAAATGACTTGTCAATAACCTGAAGTGAAGCAGAAAGATCACTAATTTAATTTGGTCACTCACAGAATATTTTGGTACTTGTATAATCTATATGAAGAAGTAGTTACCGGTATATCATTATCGATTGTCTTGGGGATTCCAGCAACTGCAACATTGAGACCACGTCTTCTAATTTCCTGTAGGAGAAAAGCAGAATAAAATTGATTGACATGGTTTCATTATTTTCGCCATCGACACACTAAACATTACATCACATCAAGTGGTTAAATTAGAATGACCAATTGATCGAAAACATGTTCTTCTGAAGTATTATTCTGGAACGATTACGGATTAAGGGCTAAGAAGGTCTACCTCAAATATCACCGCAGCCCCTCTCTGGGTTCCGTCTCCTCCGATTATATAAACCTTGAAAACAAAAGGCGACATGAATATCTTTACTGGATGCGCATATTAGATGGAAAGAAAATACCCTGAGTTACTTCTTAAATGAGTTATCCTGAGTCAGTTCACTAGTAAAGTTTTACCTGATTGATACCCCGGTCCTGAATGCTATCTACTATTTTCTTGGTAACATGACCTCCTCGAGATGTCCCAAGAATTGTTCCACCGCGTTTATGGATATTATTGACAACCTTTGGTGTCAATGGAATCGTGTTTTTGGAATAGAAACCTCGATATCCTCCCTACACATCCAAACATTTCATTGGTTCTGATGCAGATATGCATAAAGCAAATTTTTCGAATTACGAATCAAAACAGAATGTACTGATTAAAACATAGCAGAAGATCAAGATATTAAAAACTTCGAAATCATAGTGAAGTTTGATTTCAACCTTTTTTGTTTGTTAAGTTTGATTTCATCCTTACTCCTTGTGTTCCTAAAAATTCCCAAAGTTATGCATTGTACTTTGGATTGCGAGAACTATTAATCTAGTTGCTGCAATCCTCTTCAAGATGAGTCTTGATGCTACTGGTTCTACAACTATCTATCAAGCATTTTGATGAGCAGAGTTTAAATAAAAGGGACACCAAATATGTAACGATTGTCACAAGTAAAGTTGCTTTATTTTTCGAAGGCATAATACATAAACAAACATTCATTTGGCCTCAACTAGCAAGTAAGCACACTCCAACTTTGAAAGTGCACATCTAGACACCTCAACTCGTCTCCTCCACTATGTCAGTTGAACACTCCAACTTAAAAAACGATCATCTAGAAACCTCCAAAACTTACGTGCCACATCAGCGTTTGGTGTCCACGAGACACCGGTGAGGACGAGTTGAAGTGTAAATTAGTTGCCAATTGAGACCGAGTTTAAGGTGTCTGGTTATGTATCATGCAATCGCTTGAATGTATTACTGTGTCATGGAATGAAATGAATGCTCACATCTATCCCCATGACTCTGCTTACGCCATACATGTAGTGTAGGCCACATACTATTTCCCTGATAACTGTATTGAGACCGGGACATAAGCCTCCACATGTTACAATACATGCATAAACATCATCTGGCTCAAAATAAACCTGAAAAATCATCCGGAGAGTCCATATTTAATTCGAAAATAACATAGAATCTGGATACTGAATATGCTGTAGTTACATCAGATAATTACATACTTTTTGGCAAGGACCAGCTCGACGAAAATGTATCCCCCTTGGACTGTTCTTGTGGACAACAACCTGTTAATTTGTAGGCAAACACGTAAGCAGAAAGAAACCTTGTCCAACCAGTATTCCGATAAGGGATATATCATATACATACTATTCAGTATTCCCTCAAAATACCATGAAACTTAAAGTTTGTTTCAGCAGATCTTACCAATCTTTGTTAATGTTCTTATAGGAATATGGAGGAGGCAGAAAATTCCGCCAACGATACAAGCATGGCAATTAAGACGAATTAAAACGACTTTTGCCTCCGTACACATATAACTGCTTCTTAAAATGATTAGAAGGTAATCCAGAAATATTTTTTCCATTTAAACAGAACTGACCTTTTCGGCAACTGTATCATCCTCATTGACAAAATACTGCCTGGAAAAATGTTGAAAATTTTAGTTGATCAACCTGATCCTCTTGAACTTTGTACATAAGCAAACCAACACTAAAGGAGAATAATATCAGGCGACTTACTTAACGACTGAATATGAAGGATTATGCTGCAATGGATTAGTATATGTCTGCAATAACAGAACAAGTATTTAGCACTTGATCAAAATAGAGACTCTTTATCCCTTGGGAGGGTATAGATAAGAAAAAATTGGAAGCACAAACACCTCTTATGAGCAAAAGTCGAGTTCATTTCTCATGTGATCACTCAACCAACTAATAGTTATTATCTCAAAAAGCCAGTATCTTTATTGAAGAAAATTGGAATCAAAGAACGAAATGTAATTTTCTGAGATAATAACGACCCGAGAAATCAATCATATTCCACAAACTGCTTC